CGTCCACATGCGTCCCCCCCACTAAGTACAGCGCTTCGTAGCCACATAGGGAGCTCCACCGAAGACCCCAGTGGGACCGTCCGAGCGCGCCCTGAAACACCCAATTTGGCATTTTCACCCACCCATTACAGCGTTTCGTGGCCCCACAGGGAGCTCCACCGAAGACCCCAGTGCCACCGTCTGCATGCGTCTCGCACACCCAACCGTACGTCGACGAAATGTTGCACCACTTTTGCCGCGCATTGTCAGCTGTATTGCATTGCTCCTCCCCCCCTCCCCATGATCTTAATATTGGGCACATGGCAAAGATCCCTTGGCGCCCCCCCCAGGGCTCGCGACAGAATGTTGCACCACCGAGCCGTTTCGATGAACCCGGGACCGCAGCCAATGTTACGATTGGGGGGGCGGTGGAAGCGAACATCCATTGCAAAATCGGCTTGTTTTCTTGACAACACCAGGTGGTGCAACATTTTGTCGATGTACCGTTTGGGACTCTGTATTTTTGATGTGTTCGTTTGCCTTTCCTTCGAAGATAGACGCGCTGACCACGCGGGGGAAACCATGAGGGCGGACGTCATAGCGCGCTGCGAACCAAGAGACGCTTTGATGACACGGACGGCAGGCAGGAGGATGATGAGGAGGAGGAGGAGGAGGAGGACGGAGAGGAGCAGGGGTGGAGGTAGAGGAGGAGGAGGAGGAGGAGGAGGAGAGGAGGAGGAGGAGGAGGAGGAGGAGAAGAGAATGATGAGGAAGACGATGGAGAGGAGGACGATGACGATGATGAGGCGGGGGAGGATGAGGATTCGGATGTGAATTCGGACGATTCGGAAGAGGAGGAGGAGGACGACGAGGAGGAGGAGGAGCAGGAGGACGAGGACGAGGAGGACGAGGAGGAGGAGGAGGAGGAGGAGGAGGAGGAGGAGGAAGAGAGGGAGGAGGAGCAGGAAGGGGGATAGGAACAGGAGCAGCAGCAGCAGCAGCACCATTGGCAGGAGGAGAGCGAGGAGGAGGAGGGGGAGGAGGGGGAGGAGACCGCCCCAAGACGGCCCAAGAGGCGCACAAGACGGCCCCAGAGGGTACCAAGACAGGCTTCAGAGGGAGCCACGGCAGTGGAAGAAGCCTTCAATTTCTAGCCTTCGGCTCCCAGACGCCCACGCGAGGCCCCCAGGGGATCCCAAGAGGCATTCAAGAGGCGCCAAGCAGGCCCCGAGAGGCCTCCTCACCCTTGCACGTGCGAGGAGGCGGGCCTGCGTGCTCGACGCCGCCGCGCCTTGCTGTCGCCGCCGCCGCCCGCTGCCGTCGGCTCAATCCCGAGCGCGCCTGGGGCCCGCCGCGCGCCGGCCAGACATGGCGGCCGCGGCCGCCGGCCCAGCCGTCGGCCCGGCGGGGCCACCTGCCCGGCGGGTGCGCTAGAAGACAACGCCCCAGGAAAGCCTCCCCGAGCCCCTCTCGCTCGACGTGGAGGCCGTGCAGAACACGAAGACAAGCGTCTGGCTGGTCACCTCCCCGCGCCCGCTCGCAGAGAGAGCGGAAGCTGGGGAACGTCTCGTGGCGCCGCGCTCAAAGACACAGGAGCAGATGATGGAGGCCTTCCTGGATGCTTGCGCGAACCCGGTGCGGCCCCAGCAAGGGCGCGCCGCTGGGCAGACAGCGTTGCCCAGGCTGGCTTCCTACTTCCAGGAGTACCACCGCCCCGACCCAGACAGCCGAGAGCAGCACCAGCACGGGCACTTCACCGTGAAGTATGGCGGAAGCGTGCGCTTCCTGCCAATCAAGAAGGCGCTGCTCGCGCGGCCCGGGCTCGCGTCCCACTGGAAGGGAGGCTTCAGCGGCTACTGGCAACCTGCGCGGCGCCGAGCGTCGCCCTTCCGATTTGCTCGAACCGGGCCTGGTCGATTCTGCGACGCGAAGCGCACCGAGTCGGATCGATTCGATTTATTTGCGCGAGGACGGAGCGAACCGAGTCGGATCGAACCGAGTCGGATCAAGTCGATCGATTTGCGCAAGTCGGTTCGAGTCGAGCGATTCGGGCGCACAAGGTGCGGTATTGCGGACTGGCGTCGCCCCCGAAGAAGCCCGCGGCGGCCTTGGACCCGCGCCTGGTGCTCCGGGCCCCGCCTGGCGAGAAGCCTCACCCAGCCATCCTGGACAGCGTGCGCGAGCCGGCGACAGCGGCTGCCATGACTGCCAGGAGGCTCCGCGCCGACAACGCCGCAGCGGAGCAGGGGAAGGAGCCACGTCGCCTGACGGATGGCGACGTCTGGGCCCTCGTGGTCCGGTCTGGCGCCGCGGACCAGCAACTGGCGCTGTTCGCGAAGCAGCATGCTGGGCATGCGATGGTCGAGTACTTGTTCAAGCGCAGGAACACTTTGAACAGCGTCATCGACGATACCTGGGCCTGGGAGGAGATCGACGACAGCGCTGTGCAGCAGTGCCGGGCCACGCGCCTCGAGGCGATGGCCGCCGCCGACACGGGGGACTGCGTCTGCGGGGGCCAGTGGCTGTCCTACGTGACGTCCAGCATGGTGGCGAACGGCGTGCCCTTGGCGGAGTTCTGCCACGATATCCACGTCGCCATGCAGGCGGGCCGCTCCCCCGCCACCCCAGTGGTGGTCCTGGCTGGATCCGTCGGCGGCGAGGGGGAGAGCATCTTCCTGAGGGCTCTGCTGAACGTCTTCGCGACCCACCGCGCCGTCTTCCCGACGCCTTCCAAGGGCAATTTCCCTTTATTGCACCTTCCAGAGGCGAAGGTGTGCTTCTTAGACGAGTACCGGTTTACCCATTGCAGCAGCTATGGTTCGACGGGGGCGCATTGCCGCTGAGCCGGCCCCAGAATGAAAAAGGGTGCTCTGGGCACTTCTTGTGCATAGGTTCGGCCCCTGTTTTCATCGCGACCACGTTGGCGGACCTAGACGTCCTGGAGGCCGCAGCGCAACCGAGCCCCGCGACCGGGAAACCGTTCGACGCGGAAGCTTCCATGCTTATGCGGCGTTTGAAGATCTATCGCTCCGATGTGAGACAGCCGAAGCCGGCGGCTACTTTGCCGCGTTGCCCGCGTTGTTTCGCTGGACTTGTCATTGGGCAGGCCGCGGCGTACGCTGCAGCCGCCGCGCCCCCGGCGCCCGTCGCGTGAGCGACGGCCAAACATTGTTTTCACCGTGCCTGTCAACATCGTCGTCGCCGCCGCCGTCGCCATCATCATCGCCACCATTCTCATTTGAAACAACGGCATCGCCATCGTGATCCATACCGGACAGTTTGCAGGCCTGCCGTTGTTCCCCACGATCCGGCGGCGCGGTTGAGCACGCGTGCCTTTAACAACGCGCCTTGTCCAGCCACGTCGGGGCGTGGGGCCATCGTGCCCGTTGTGAATGTTCCATTGTAACGCGCCGCCGCACCAGTCCATCCAGCAACGATACCCGGGGGAACCGCCGGCATGCGTGGAGTCCCCGTGCCGTCTGAATTCGCACAGGGACTTGTCCAGCCACTCCGGGTTTTGGAGCCGTCTGGCGTTTGGAATTTTCAACGCTTTCTCCTCCTCGTTCCCCCGCTTCTTCTTCCTCCCCCCCCTCTCCTCCGCCTCCTCGTCCTCGTCCTCGCCGTCGTCGTCGTCGTTCTCCTCCTCCTCCCCCTCCTTCTCCCCCTCTTCCGTGTCCTCCCCCGCCTTCGTTCCGGCCCAGACTTCCTCAGACCTTCCCTCCAGCCCTCTCTCGGAATCGGCCTCCGACCATCAATCCAACCCTCCGTGGAGCCCTCCTTCGAACCCTCCGTCCAGGCTTCCCCCCAACCTCCATCCGGCTCCCCAGTCTTTCATCCTCCCTCCGACTTTTCGCCCCCCCTCCGACCCTTCACTCTTCGCCCCTTTTCCAATTCTTCGAGCCTCCTTCGACCCTCCCACTCCGCACACCTCCATCCTCCCTCCGATTCCTCACTCTTCCATCTCCCCTCCGACCGCTCGCTCCTCCCGCCGGCCCCTCGCTCCTCGCCCCTCCCTCCGACTCCTGACTCCTCCATCGCCCCTCCGACTCTTCGAGCCTCTTTCGACCCTCCCACTCCGCGCGCCTCCATCCTCCCCCCGATTACTCACTCTTCCATCTTCCCTCCGACTCCTCGTCCCTCCCTCCGAGTCCTCACTCCTCCATCGCCCCTCCGACTCTTCGAGCCTCCTTCGAGCCTCTCCGCACGCCTCCCTCCTCCCCCCGATTCCTCACTCTTCCATCTCCCCTCCGACTCCTCGCCCCTCCTTCCGACTCCTCACTCCTCCATCGCCCTTCCGACTCTTCGAGCCTCCTTCGACCCTCCCACTCCGCGCGCCTCCATCCTCCCTCCGATTCCTCACTCTTCCATCTCCCCTCGGACTCCTCGCTCCTCCCTCCGATTCCTCACTCTTCCATCGCCCCTCCGACTCTTCGAGCCTCCTTCGAGCCTCCCACTCCGCGCACCTCCATCCCCCCTCCGACTCCTCACTTTTCCATCTCCCCTCCGACGCCTCGCTCCGACCTCCGACTCTTCACTCCTCCATCGCCTTTCCGACTCTTCGAGCCTCCTTCGCCACTCCGCACACCGCCATCCTCCCTCCGATTCCTCACTCTTCCATCTCCCCTCCGACTCCTCGCTCCAATCTCCACCCCTGCTTCTGCCTCCACTTCCTTTCGTCCGACTCGTCACTCCTGCATCCTTCGTCCGACTCCTCACTCTTCCATCCTCCTTCCACCTCCCCGCGCCTTCCTCGGATTCCCCCCTTCTCCTCCTCATTCCTCAACCTCTTCATCCTCTTCCCCCTCCCCCTCCCCCTCCTCCTCCTCCTCCTCCTCCGCCTCCTGCTGCTCCTCCTCTTCCTCCGCCTCCTGCTCCTCCTCATCCTAATCATCACCGTCGTCGTCGTCCTCCTCCTCCTCGTCCTCCTTGTCGTCCTTCTCTCCCCCAGCCCTCCCTCCAGCCCTCACTTCCTCAAGCCCTCCCTCCAGCCCTCTCTCGGACCCGGCCTCCAACCATCCCTCCAAACCTCCCTGGAACCCTCCCTCGAACCCTCTTTCCAAGGCTCCCTCCGGCCTTCCGTTGAAACCTCCATTCCATTCTCTCTCTAACGCCCCCTCCAGTCGTGCAGCCCTCCCTCGAGCCCCCCCGCGACAGCTTCCTCCAACCCTCCCTGAACCCTCCCTCAACACTTCCCTCAACCCTCCCTGCGCTCTCCCTCAAACCGTAGATCGGTACCTGTCCAGCGGAGCGCAGTACCGTACGTCGACGAATTGTTGCACAACTTTTGCCTCGCATTGTCAGCTGCATTGCATTGCTCCTCCCCCCCCCTCCCCCTGATCGTAATATTGGGCACATGGCGAAGATCCCTTGGCGCCCCCCCCAGGGCTCGCGACAGAATGTTGTACCACCGAGCCGTTTCGATGAACCCGGGACCGCAGCCAATGTTAAGATTGGGGGGGCGGTGGAAGCGAACATCCATTGCAAAATCGGCTTGCTTTCTTGACAACACCAGGTGGTGCAACATTTTGTCGATGTACCTGCTAGGAAGTTTGTAGTTTCACATAGATATATGATTATATAAAATATAATCTAGACTGTCCTGGAGGATCCAGGAAATCCTGCAGCCCTTTGTTGCTCGAGGAAAAGAGCGACCCTCACCTCCCCCCTTTCTCCGCGAGGGGGGTGGGTGCGCGTGCATGGTAGCGGAGCTCGCTTGAGGATCGCGGGCCGCTCCGCACCCCGGCGAGCTCAAGGAGCCCCTCAGCAGCTGGCGGGCCGATCCACGCGAGCGCCGAGAGGACCCCTTGCTAGTCAGAGCTGCGGTCAGACCCGCGCTCTGACAGTGGAGGCCAAGCAGCCACGGAGAAGGCCAAGAAGCCGAACAAGCGAGGAGGCAGGTCGGCGGAGACGCGTCAGCACCGCGAGCTCCGAGGGACCGCCTTTAGGAAGCTCAAGGCGTGCGGCAGCAGAGCGCAGCTCACGCAGGAGGAGCGAGCAGCGGTGACGAGGCAGCTGAGAAGCGACATCGAGAGGATAGGGAAGCGTGTCAGCGACGTGCTAGACTATCAAGATGGAGCAGCAGCTGCAGCAACTGGTCGATCAAGTTCAGAGGCTGACGACGGAGAGTCAGAACATGAGACAGGAACTTCAGAACAGAGACGTGACGATCGCAGAGATGCGAGGTCAGCTTCAAGCTCAGCAACAGGCTCAGCAGCAGCGGGTAGCCCCGCGCGGCGAGATGATGGATCCGAAGATTCTTCACAAGGTGAAGCCGTTCGACGGCCACAGGGCGAGTTGGAAGACGTTCAGTTTCCAGTACAGAGCGTACCTGATCGCCCAGGATCGAAGGTACCGAGATCTTCTGGAAAGGTGCGAGGACGGAGCCCAGGAGGTGGACAACGTCAACCTGGACGCGCAGGAGGAAGAGCTAAGCACGCAGTTGTACTACGGCCTGGTCCTGGCGATGCCCGAGGACTCAGTAGGCGAGCTGATCGTGAGGAACAGCCCAGTAGGAGAAGGAGCCGAGTGTTGGAGGAAACTTCAGAAGGAGTACAACCCGAGCGAGGCAGGAAACGTGCTGGCGATGTGGACCAAGCTCACGGACACGAAGTTCGACGCCAAAGAAGACGTGATGGTGAGCATCAGCAAGCTGGACGAGGACATGGCAAGGTACCAGAAGATGGCAGGAGAACCAGTCTCGGACCTGATCAAGCGAGGCATCCTTACAAAGGCGCTGAAGGATCACGACGAGTTGCAGAAGCACGTGTTTCGGAACAGCAGTCGGCTAAGTACGTACGAGCTCCTGAGAGCCGAGGTGGTGTCGGCGTTGATGGCAGAGCGAGCGGTTCAGGACGACCCGATGGAGATAGGCGCGCTGAAGGGCGGAAAGAGACCGTGGAAAGGCCGCGGCAAAGGGAAAGACGGCAAGGGCAAGGAGAGGCCACCGAATCCCGACGCCGAGATCGAGTGCCACTACTGTCACAAGAAGGGCCACCGCAGCGCAAACTGCCGAAAGCGGATCGCCGACGAGAAGAATACATCCGAGAAGGACAAGAAGGACAAGAAGCAGCTCCGAAAAGAGAAGGGAAAAGAAAAGAAGAAGATCGGGGCAGCGGCAGTCAGGGAGCTCGAAAGGTTACGACAGGCAGGAGTGGGCACAGGAACAAGTTCGACAGCACCTACACAACAGATGTTGGGAAGTCAAGGAAGCGCCGACAGCGCGATGACTCAGCAGGTGCTGCGCCCAGTCAACTGCGCGCTGCAAGCGAAGATGATTCTGGCCCTGAGGGCAGAGGTCTCAAGAAGCGCAGCCACACGATCGACTGGAAGTACTGCTTGCCTAGCTACCACCAATATGTCTGCTGCTCTTGCAAGAAGACCTTTGAAGGATGGCGATGGCACTTCGATCAGTGGAAGCTGGACTACTGTGCCGCGTGTGCCAAGTACTGCCTGGACAGCTGGTTCAAGGACGAGGAAGAGCCAGACGACAACGAGAAGCCAAGACCAAAGAAGCACAAGAAAGACTATCAGTAAGTGCTGCGACGTGCCAGCTGCGGTGAGCCCCGCGCTGGCCGGCCCCAGGCATGTCACCGTCGCTGGTCTTCGGCCCGTGGATGAAGATCAGAGCCCTGCAGATGACCGATTGCGGTTAGCCCCGCTTCGGAATGCGATCATGCTCGACTCAGGTGCGCAGATCAGTGCGATACCGAGATCACAGGTGACCAAGCATAACTACACGCCGACGGACAGCAACGTTGTCGGCTTGAAGGGCATAGGAGGCGAGGAGATCGAGAGGTACGGCCACGTGGAGCTGAACCTATCCCGAGGAGGAGAGGTTATTCAAGTCGGTGCAGAGGTTGCCGATGTGGAGTACCCAGTTGTGGCTACAGATGCTGTAGTACAACGTGGTCAGAGTGTTCTTCATAGCCCTGCAGGTCACTGGATCATCAACGGTACCGTCGAGCCACCTGACGGAGCTGAGTTCGTACCTCTACGGCGTCACCAAGGCAACTACTTCTTAGAGTACGATCACATCATCGACGGCCAGACTCAACCAGAAGCTTCAAAGGTAGCTGCGGTCCGAAAGACGCTACCGAGGAAGGTACCAGCTGAACAGGAAGCTGGATCTTTGCCGAAGGTTCTAGGTCCTGAAGCTGATGAGACCACAACTGTGCCAACGAGAGTGTTGAAGACTCCTCACCAACCTAGTGCTGCGGAGAGAGCCGCGCACGAAGGGCATCATCTACCTTTTCGGCCTTGGTGTCCCATCTGCGTGCAGGCTCGAGCAGACGATGACCCACACCACGCTCAGGAACCAGCTGATGAGAACAAGATCCCGAAGGTCATGTTCGACATCTTTTACGTAGGGACGGACCAGCTGGCTGCGAAGTACAAGCTTAAAGGAGGTTACTTCAGCATCAGGGAGAAGATGTCGGTCACGAAGGCCGAGCTAGACCAAGCGGTCTCTGTCTTGAATGTTATCGACTGTAAGATCTTGGCTCAGGCGACGTTGTACGCGAACAAGGAGACGGATGACTACAAGGTGTCATTCCTGCTAGGCGTGCTGGAAGCTTGGGGCCACACAACAGTCATACTTCAGACAGACCAGGAGCCTGCCACCATGGCTCTGGCGCAGGCAGTTCGAGATCGCAGATCACACTCAACCTTGGTGCGGGGATCACCGCCCTTTTCCAAGCAGAGTGCAGGCTACGCTGAAGGAGGTAACAAGCTAGCAGCTGGTCTACTTCGAGCCTACAAGCTGAAACTGGAGCACAAGCTGGGCAGCGAGATCAAGATGACGGATCCGATCGTGCCATGGCTTGTGAACTCAGTGGGGTGGATGATCACCAGATTCCAGCCTCGCAGTCACGGAGGTTCCTCCTACAAGATGCTCTACGGCAAAGAGTACAACGGCGAGATTGCGGAGATGGGTGAGCAGGTCTGGTATCGGATCTCAGCCCGAGTTGCCGCGGGACGTGGCAAATGGGAAGCCCGCTTCGCAAAAGGAATCTGGGTTGGTAAGAGCGAACTGGACGACACACATCTCGTGATCGATCCTGAACGTGGAGTGCAGAAGGTGAGAACGGTGCGAAGGATGCCTGAGGAGTTCAGATGCAGCCCGAGCTCATCCAGCACATCAGGGTGACGCCCTGGAAGCAGACGCCCGACAAGAGTTCAGGAACGATCGGATGCAGCATGTACATCACGGAGCGCATGATCGATGCTCATGGTCCTACTGACGAGTGCAGGAAGTGCAGTACAGGATACGGTTCGCATTCGGCAGCCTGCCGACAGCGTTTCGAGACCATTCAGGCCGACTTGCTGCGCGAGAAGTTGGCAAAGGACCCTGTGGCCCCTGAGGCTACAGTCGTGGTGCCAGCACCGGCTGCGGGTAGCCCCGCGCCTGGAGCCGCACTAGGAGGAGCAGCGGCATCAAGCAGCAGTGAGGTTGCGGTGAGCCCCGCACCTGCTGCCAGCGACGTAGCTATGGTCCCTGGCCCAGGAGAGGCTGAGGTGCAGACAGCCATGGACACGGAGAGTGGCGAGCTCAGGAGCGACTTTCGGCGAAGTGCCCCTGGTGAAGTTCGTGAAGGAGCTGAGGTCAAGAAGCCCAGGGTAGCAAGCATTGGGCATCTCTCTGTCTGTGAGTTGGCAGTCTGCGAGGAGGGCTACGACGAGAGCTTCGACCCCCTGTGGGATCCACACCCAAAGCGTAGTGCGAGATGTTCCGAGAGGTGTGAGAAGCACTCGTCACGATGCCAGCTACGAGAATGCCACCAAGCTGAGTGTGCATGCAGGAGATGTTTGTTGAGCCACATCGGCACAATCAGGAGCCACTTCGGAGATCCTGAGGATCAGCAGGTGGAGCAGATGGTTGAGGTGAGCGCCGAGCTGCATGAGAAAGACCAGTGGAGCCCAAAGACGATACACTACGATTACTATACTGAGAGCCTCTGGATGGGGGGGGGGAGTAGGGAGGGGGGAGGTTGTGAAGGGTGGGGGGGGAGGCGAGGGTGAGGGAGGAGAGGGGGAGGAGGGGGAAAGAGGAACGGGGGAGCGTGGTAGGGAAGCGCCGCTCTCTTGGGGAGGGAGGGGGCGGGGAGGATGAGGTGGGGGGGAGTGGGAGAGTGTGAGGGGGGCAGGGTCGGGAGGGGGAGGGAGGCGAGGGGGGGGGTGGAGAGGGGGGGGCGGGGAGTGAGGGGGGAAGGGGCAGAGGGAGGAAAAAAAAAGGGGGTAAGGGGGTGGAGGGAGGGGAGGGGAGGGGCGGCGGGTAGGGGGTGGGGAGGTAGGTGAGTAGCCTCTGGGTGATGACCTTATCAGAAGGGTCGCGACGACGAGCTGCAGGCCATGAAAGACTACGGGGTCTACGTGGAAGTGGCGACATCGACGGCGACTGACGGCAAGCACATTGGAGGTTTCCCGATAGCCCACATGAAAGAAGGAAAGGTCAGGTGGAGGTTCGTATCAACCGAGGTGAACAAGTACGAGGTCAGGGAGGACAACCACCAAGGCACGCCCCCGCTCATGATTGTCAGAGCGACGCTGAGCCGTGCCGCTTCAAGTCCAACTTACAGCGGGCAGCACCTGCGGAAGATACAAGTCTGGGACGTCAGGAAGGCTTTCTTCAACGCTGACTTAGACGAGACGATCTACGTGCATCCTGGGAGAGAGCTGTGTCCGCCTGGAAGGTGCTGGTGGTTACGCAAGGCCATGAACGGTACCAGGAAGGCGTCGCAGATGTGGGGTGAGCTTGTGAGAACTACTATGGACGACGGCCATTGGAAATGCTTGGTTGGAACTCCTAACGTGTTCTACTTACCTGCTAGCCCCAACACAGCCCCCTTCGACGAGGATAGCACAGCGATCTGCCATGGCGATGACTTTCTTGCTGAAGGCTACGACGAGCAGCTGGACGAGCTGGACGAGTTGTTGAAGCAGCAGTTTGAGGTCACGGCCAGCGCCAGACTTGGACCAGGAGCGGTGGGCAGACTACATACCTCAAGAGGACGATCGGCTACACCGACAAGTTGCCAGGTTGCGAGGAGCCAGGTTTCTTCTGGACTGCCGATCCTAAGCATGTGGACTTCATGATCAAGTGGACGCAGAAGCGAGGTTGTAAACCAGCTCCCACTCCAGGAACGAAAGCTACAGGACAAGGCCGACGAGACAGCCTAGACCTTCTTTCCAAGGATCGTGCTCGAGAAGTGGCGGGTGCAGCAGGCACCGCTCTTTACCTTTCTTCGGACAGGCCCGACACGATGTACGCCAGCAAGACAGCGATGCAGCACGTCTCCAACCCGAACGTCTTGATGCATGCGCGTGTTCAGCGACTTGGAAGGTATTACGAAGGACAGCCTGTTTTGGTCTGGTGTTACCCACTTCAAGGTACTCCTGAAGGCATTCGTGTAGATGGTGATGCGGACTGGGCACCTACGAGTGAACTACAGCGGCGATCTACCAGTGGAGGAGCTGTGAGGTATGGCGACCACACTTGGGACTGCTACTCAGTGACGCAGAGTACGATAGCCCTAAGTTCAGGGGAATCAGAGATGTATGCTACGGGAAGTGCGACAGCCAGAGGACTTCAGTGTAAGACTTACCTGATCGAGACCCAGAGGCCCTGCAACCTGAAGATCTATAGTGACAGCACAGCTGGACGTGGCATGTGCAGCCGAGTTGGGGTGGGCAAGGTCAGGCATCTGGAGCTGAGGTACTTGTGGATTCAGGAGCGGTTGCGTCTCAAGGCGTTCGAGCTTTACAAGGAGGACACCAGCAAGATGACAGCCGACATGCTCACGAAGTACAGCGAGTGGCCGACAATCGAGAAGCATTGCACCACTCTCAACCTCAGGTTCGGAAAGCAGATGACGGGCTTGAGCGCAATGGCAGTTTTCACGGAGGTCGTGACGAAGGCGTCAGGCGAGAAGGTGACAGTGTACGGAGGATCTGACGAGGTTGCGGTTTGCCCCGCGCCTGTCAGCCACTATGTGGAGAGCGAGGAGTTCAGGTTCTACTTGATGTTGGGACTTGTTATGGTGACTGCAGCGAGTACTTTCTTATTGGGGTGCTGGTGTGGTTGCTACTTCAAGAACTTCTACGACAAGTTCCTCCTCCAGGGTGCGGTTAGCCCCGCCTCTGGAAGCACGTGTCCACCATCTGCGCGGGCTGACGTCGAGTTCAAGACCGTGTGTGCACAGCAGGACAAAGGTGCAAGGCACAAGCTCTTAAACACGTTTCTTGTGGCTGAGCTGCGAGCTGTCTTGAAGGCCAAGAGCCTGGCCGTGTCAGGGATCAAAGAAGACCTGGTCACGAGGATGATCAAGCACGGAGGTGTTCTGTCGGATCGCCAGGCCAAGGAGATCGAGCAGCTGCGGGTGATGGCTACAGCGCATGGACCTCTTGCCAAGCTTAGCTTGCAGGACATCAGCAGTCCAGAGGCTGCGCAGAAGTGGATCGAGACGTTCAAGGGCGAGTGCCGAGACCGTTCCAGAGGCTCTCAGGTGATCCACGGAGAGGGCTAGGAGAATGGTCGCAGGAAGCACTACGACGGCCGAGGGTGAGCTTTGTTTTACAGGCTGCGGTTTGCCCCGTGCCTGCCCTCAGCGGGTAGCCCCGCGATGGGTTTAGGGGGCCAGCGCCGTTGCGACGCCTGCCCAGGGAGCACAAAGAGGCTTCCCTGTGGCTCACTTTTCTTGGCTGGAGGCCGAGCCGCTTCCAGCGCCCAAGGAGAGGTGCTAGGAAGTTTGTAGTTTCACATAGATATATGATTATATAAAATATAATCTAGACTGTCCTGGAGGATCCAGGAAATCCTGCAGCCCTTTGTTGCTCGAGGAAAAGAGCGACCCTCACCTCCCCCCTTTCTCCGCGAGGGGGGTGGGTGCGCGTGCAGTACCGAATGTGGCATTTTCACCCACCCAGTGCAGCGTTTCGTGGCCCCACATGGAGCTCCACCAAAGGCCCCAGTGGGACCGTCCACAAGCTTCCTGAAACACCCATTTTGGCATTTTCGCCCACCCAGTTCAAAATTTCGTGGCCTCGTAGGGAACTCCACTGAAGGCCCCACCCGTCCGCATGCGTCCCGAAAACCCAACGTGGCATTTTTTCACACCCAATACAACGTTTCGTGGCCCCGTAGGGAGTTCCACCGAAGCCTCCAATGGGACCGTCCGCGTGCGCCCCGGAGACCCAATTTGGTATTTTCACTCACCCAGTACAGCGTTTCGTGGCCCCATAGGGAGCTCCACCGAAGCTCCCAAGCCGTCCGCATGCGTCCCGGAAACCTTACTTGACACACCATTCACCCAGAACGGCGTTCCCCCCACCCAGTGCAGCGCTTCTTGACCCCATGGGGAGTTTCACCGAGGAAGATTTTCACAATTGCGGTACCCACAACTGCATATGGTTGAGTCATTCGCAAGGATAATTTTTAGGGGGCTCCCTTACTGGGCCACGAAACGCTGTATTGTGTGTGTGTGGATGAAAATGTTAAAGTTGATGTGGGGGGGCGCGTGCGGGCGGTGCCACTGGGGGCTTCGGTGGAGCTCCCAATGGGGCCACGAAGCGCTGTACCGAGTGGATGAAAATGCCAAACTGGGCGTGTGGGGCGCATGCGGGCGGTCCCACTGGGGGCTTCGGTGGAGCTCCCTATGGGGCCACGAAGCGTTGTAGTGGGTGGGTGAAGATGCCAAGTTGGGTGTGGGGGACGCATGCGGGCGGTCCCACTGGAGGCTTCGGTGGAGCTCCCTACGGGGCCACAAAACGTTGTGCTGGGTGGGTGACAGTGCCAACTTGAGTGTGGGGGGCGCATGCGGGCGGTCCCACTGGGAGCTTCGGTGGGGCTCCCTATTGGGCCACAAAGCGCTGCACTGGGTGGGTGAAAATGCCAAGTTAGGCGTGGAGGGCGCACGCGGGCGGTCCCACTGGGGGCTTCGGTGGAGCTCCCAATGGGGCCACGAAGCGCTGTACCGAGTGGATGAAAATGCCAAGTTGGGCGTGGGGGGCGCACGCGGGCGGTCCCACTGGGGACTTCGGTGGAGCTCCCTATGGGGCCGCGAAGCGCTGTGCTGGGTGGGTGAACATGCAAAATTCTAGACGCTTCGCGTATCCCCACCAACCCGTCCAGAAACGACGTCCAGGCGAGTAGAGGGTCGTCCTGAGGGGCTTTGCGGCGTCTTGGGTGCCTCGGGGGGGCCTCTGTGGGCCGTTCGGGATCCTCTTTGGGGCCTCCTGGGGGCCTCTTGGGGCCTCTTGGGGCCATCTTGGGGCCTTTGGGGGCCTCCTGGGCGCTTCTTGGGGCCATCTTTGCCCCCCCAGGAGGCCCAAATGGGGCCAACATCGCAGTAAAATCAATGATTTTGGCTTCCTCGCCGAGGCCGTTTTGGACGCTCTGACCGCTCGCGGCCCCCCCCGTCCAGGTCCACGGGGAGGGGGTAGGGGGAGGGGTAAACCCCTCCCCGAAGGGAAAGAGGGAGGGGTGGAAGAGGAAACGCCTTAAACCACCGACGCCCAGAGGGCTGGTGGGATTGCCTCGATCAGGGAAGTGGACAGCACACAGAGCAAGCCAGTATGAGACATCTTGGGATTTCTTGAGCCATCTTGGAGGTCATTTTGGGCTCTCCGAGACGCTGTTGGAGTAATCTTAAGCAGTGCCCCCCCCCCAAGAGGTCAACATGTGGCTAAAACCTTAGTGCAAACAATGGTTTGACATTATCGCCGAGGCCTCTGGGAGCACCTTGGGTGCCTCTGGGGGGTCTCTTGGGGCCTCTTGGGGGTCTCTTGGGGGCCTCCTGGGGGCCTCTTTGGGGGCCTCTTGGAGCCATCTTGGGGCCATCCTGCGGCCTCTTGGGGCATCCTGGGGGCCTCTTGCGGCCATCGTGGAGGAAATCGATCAAAGAAGAGGGGAGCTTTAATTAGCGCTGCCCCGTCAGAAGGCCAAAATGGAGCCCAAACCACAGTAACATCAATGATTTTGGCTTCCTCGCCGAGGCCGTTTTGGACGCTCTGACCGCTCGCGGCCCCCCCTGTCCAGGTCAGCGGGGACGGGGTAGGGGGAGGGGTAAACCCCTCCCCGAAGGGGAAGAGGGAGGGGTGGAAGAGGAAACGCCCTAAACCACCGACGCCCAGAGGGCTGGTGGGATTGGGTGTGGGGGACGCATGCGGGCGGCCCCACTGGGGCCTTCGGTGGAGTTCCCTATGGGGCCACGAAGCGTGTGAGGGATGCACCGGAATGGGCGTGGGGACGCATGCGGGCGGTGGAAAGGAGGAGGGGGAAGAGGGGGAGAAGAGGAAAGGAACGCGGGGGCCGTCTCTTCAAAACGAAGACCGAACGCCACAGGATGGTTGGGAAAAACCTTCCTCAAACCTTCCTCAGGAAGGTTCTTGGGTTCCTGGAACCTTCCAACAACAACCTTACTGAAACCTTCCTCCAGAAGGTTTTTGGAAGGTTTTTGGGCCAACCCCTCCTGGAACCTTCCCGAGGAAGGTTTTTAGTACGGTGTTTGACAGGTTTTTGGACGGTTGTTTGAAGGTTTCTGGGGAATTGTTTCGAAGGTTGTTTGGGAAGTTTTTTTTTTTGTTTTTCTTCCGGGGGGGGAGGCTTATGGAGGTTGTTCGGGTGTTTTTTGGAAGGCTGTTGGACTGTATTGGGCGGTTTCGCTTCATGCCGGGACGTTTTAGGAAGGTGTTTGGACGGTTTTGTTTTGGAAAGTTTGTGGAAGGTTGTTGGAAGCTTTTTGGAGGGTTTATTTGAGCGTTTTTTGCATTTGTCCGAGAAACCTTTCTACAACCTAAAACCTTCCTCAGGAAGGTTCCAGGATTCCTGGGACCTTCCAGACAACCTTCCTCGAACCTTCCGCAGGAAGGTTTTTGGATTTCGGGGGCCTTCCAAAAAACCTTAGTATAACCTTCCTCAGGAAGGTTTTGGAAGGTTTTTGGGCCAGCCCCTCCCGGAACCTCCCCGAGTAAGGTTTTAGGAAGGTATTCTGGGCGTTTTTTTTGAAGGTGTTTTGAACCTTGTTGTAAGGTTTTTTTGATGGTTTGTTGAAGGTTGTTGGAAGTTGTTTTGAAGGTTTTTTTGGAAGGTGTTTGGAAGGTTTTTGGAATGTATCGGGCGGTTTCGCTAAATGCTGGAAGGTATAAGGAAGGTTTTAGGAAGGTGTTTGGAAGGTTTTCTTTTTTGTGGGGGGGAAATGTGTTTGGACGGTTTTTGGAAACAAGCCTTTCTGAAACCTTCATAGAACCTTCCTCAGGAAGGTGCCAGGATTCCTGGAACCTTCCAACAACAATTTCACTGAAACCTTCCTCCGGAAGGTTTTTGGGAGGTTTTTGGGCCAACCCGTCCTGGAACCTTCCCGAGGAAGATCTTAGGATGGTGTTTGATAGGTGTGTTTGGAAGGTTTTTGGAAGGTTTTGTTTTGGATGTTTGTTTGGAGGTTTATTTGGAAGGTTTTGTATGTTGTTTGGAGAAACCTTCCTAAAACTTTCCTCAAACCTTCCTCAGGAAGTTCCCAGGATTCCTGGAACCTTCCAAACAACCTTCCGAACATCTTCCTCAGAAAGGTTTTGGATTCCTGTAACCGTCCAAAAAACCTTCCTATTATAGCCGGAGTGCAGTATCCCCAAACAGGGTTTTTAGACCCACTGCGGTTTCCAAGGTCGATTGCGTGCCCGTCCAGTGCGGGCTGGCATGGCATGTTAAAACATGCCTCCTCCTCCTCCTCTTCCTCCTCCTCCTCCTCCTCCTCCTCCTCCTCCTCCTCCTGCTCCTCCTCGTCCACCTCCTCTTCATCCCGAAAGGCATCTCGGAGCCCACAGTTGCGAGGATGTCTCCAGCGTAACGGGCTGGACCACCTCGCGCGCGGCATTTCAGACCCCAGAGTTGCGACGATGTCTCGGGCGAAACATGGTGCGAGGAAGTCTCAGGCGAAACGGGCCGGACCACCTCGAGCGCGGCGTCTCAGAGCTCCGAGTTGCGGGGGCCTCCTGGTGCATCCTGGGGCCTCCTGGGGACCTCCTGGGGCTTCATCCTGGGCCTCCTGTGGCCTCCTGAACTCCACCTGGGGTTTCCTGAAGCGTCTTGGGGCTCCCAGGGGGGATATCTAACCTGTGGCCGTTTGGGCCCCTCAAAATACAGGCCGGAAGTGCATTTAACTTGACACGTTCTGATAGGGGGCCTCATGGGGCCTCCTGGGAGCCTCCTGGGAATCTCCTGCGGACCCCTTGGGGCCTGTCCTGGGCGTCCTGCGGCCTCCTGAAGCTCTCTGGGGCCTCCCCCTCCTCCTGCCTGCTCTCCCTCATGCACATCATCCGCCTCCTCCTTCTCCCTTCCATCTCCTCCTCCTCCTCCTCCTCCTCCTCCTCCTCGTCCACCTCCTCTTCATCCCGAAAGGCATCTCGGAGCCCAGAGTTGCGGCTGGCAGCTCGCCCGCCCCCTCTCCCCGCCCCGCCCCGCGCACCCCCCACGTCGCCCCCCCACCCCCCGCTCCACCCGCCCGACGCCCGCCCCCCCCACCGCCCCCGC